CGTTCCTTAATTGTCCCGCCTGATGCTTCTTTACGATCGCAGTAATACGCGTGACATTGAACGAAAACTTGCGCGCGTAGAAATCGAGCAAGTAAAGCATATATACACACACTGTGCCGAGAGTTGCTAGAATTTCCCTATTACTCCGAGATGGGATTACCAATTTTAACGTAAGGAAAATTCTGACAAGCGTGAGTAACGAGCACACGTAGATAGTTGCTCGGCCCACACTGTGTCTAAGGTAATCTATCATGAATAATATAATCGACTTAATGGCCCCATCGAGTGCGCTACGCAAATTTGAGGAAGCTGGGGAAGGAAACTTCTTATCGTCGGCGAAGTGTCGAGGTAACTTTCGTCCCGGGAACAATTGCTCTTCGAGTCGATATCTTGTAAATGTTTGCAATTAATTAATCTAAACCGGATGCACCTCCATAGTTTCTCGACTACTGTGACAAGCGAGATGTTCAAATCTCGGGTGAAGAACGTTTGGAAAATCCCTCGCCAAATGCTGAAAAGAGAAAGGTGTTCAACGTTAAAATTTCAAAGTTGAACAAACGTACAGAGGTCAGACAAAATTATGGGAACACCTTGAGATTATGTTTTATCTTGGACCCAAGAACTATTTAAATGGCTCTGGTCCATACAGATGTGAGTCACGGGTAAAGTCATGAAAATGAAGTTAAAAATGTTCAGCAACTGTGCAGCTGGCACAACAGGAGATTTGAATATCGTCGAGCTACCATGGTATATTCTAAACAAAGTTAAAAGCAGCATTTATTAAGTGTATTCTACCTGTAAAACAAAATTGCCTCACCTAAAGTTTGAAAAGGTATTACATGAAGAATATAGCGTAATCATTAATACAAATGTCATTCGTGATTTGTATGGATCTGTTCTGAGAAAATTTCAAGCAATGTGTTGAAGGCCAATTTATTAATAAAGAATTCTTTGTTACTTTAATAAAACACAATTCTGTACGATATAACATCTAATAAGATATCTATGATATGATAATCTAATAATATAATATCTAATAAGATATCTATGAACATCATAATCTAATATTCTATTAATTCCATTAATAGAATTCTATATTCTAGAATTCTATTAATTCTATTAATTCTATATTCTAGAATTCTAATCATTCTGTCTGGCACTAACAGAATATTCTAATATGTTACTAATTCTATTAATTATATTAATTCTGTATAATATAATAATAAATATAATACCTAATATAATAAAATATCTGTAATATAATAATAAATATAATATCCAATAAAATATCTATAATATCATAAGCTAATATTCTATTAATTCTATTAATTCTATCTTCTAGAATTAATCTATTAATTCTATCTTCTAGAATTAATCTATTAATTCTATTAATTCTATGTTCTAGAATTCTATTCATTCTATCTGGCATTAACAGAATATTCTAATATTATATCTAACATAATAAATAATATAATATCTATAATATAATAATAAATATAATATCTAATAAAATATCTATAATATGATGATCTAATATTCTATTAATTCTATATTCTAGAATTAATCTATTAATTCTATTAACTCTATATTGTAGAATTAATCTATTAATTGTATTAACTCTATATTGTAGAATTAATCTATTAATTCTATTAACTTTATGTAATATAATAATATAATAATAATAAATATAATGAAATATAATAATATATAATAATAAATAATATATAATAATAAATATAATAATATATAATAATATAATAATAATATATAATAATAAATATAATGAAATATATTCTAATAAATATAACTCTTTATTATTTCTAATAAAAAATATCTATTATCAAAGAATTCTTTATATTATAAAGAATATTCCAAGTGTTTCTATTATTTTGTCCAAACCCTGTACACTAGATTGACAATAGTGGAAAATTCACCATTGCGTCTAATTTAGGCTTATGATAGATGATGAACGTGCGTCGCTCGGTCGTATTGGAGCAACGTTAATTCACACTGCTGATGCCATTCGATTCCTATTATTCACGGTTCTCTCTCCCCCCCCTCCCCTTCTGTACAATCGCGATTGAACGCGGACGAGGTTGATAATCCACCAAATTTCCAAACGGGCGGCCACATAATTCATACCGGGCCATATTATTCCGCATGGCTACCTCCAATTCTCTCTCGATTGTTTGTCTAGCTGCCGCATCGAAAGAACGCGCCCGTTTCTCATTTATTCCCCTGTTTATCCGGCCATCGTCAAGTCCTTCATTATCCTTGTTTATTTTCTCAACCGCCACGGTGCTCTGAAAATCGCGTTTTTAAAAGTCAATTCTTCACGTTTGATACTTTTTTCCTTTTTTATCTTTCTATGAAACAAGGACCGTTTCAAAACTCTGGAATCCAAAGTATTGTTCGTTTCAGAGAATCACGCGAACTTGACTAGAATTCTGAAAATCAAAGTGAGGTTAAGTTAGTTTGTCTGATCAGTAATTATAGAATTATAGCTGAATAAATAGGGTTTTAATTAAATTATTGTTTTGCGTACATCGATAAGCGTACTTGTTTCGGCTCTTCAATTGTATTTTGATCCATGTGCAAGCAGAATGTTTATAGCAATTTGAACTTTGAGAATGGTTTTAAGAAAAAAAAAAAAAAATGATTAGACTTTGACTTAAGAGCATTGGCATTACTAACCTAAACTTTCTGCAACTTTTGAAATAGACACGGATTTTAAGAAGTAGAAGCCCATGATATTTGAACGCCCTTGGATCTATCATCATTTTTTGAAACGACGTAATTTTGAACCAACATTCAGTTAACCAATTTAAAATGACGTGCAACTACATTACCGACATTCAGCCGAGGAATTTGAAAGGACACAGGACTACGTTATCGGTCGCGAATGCGTTAATAATCGACGTCAAAGCGATGAGATCTTTTCTGGGATGCTAGGCGCACCTAACCTGCAACCTATTTTTCAGCCAGAGTGAGCTCGACGAACGTTCAACCTGACTTTTGTGAAAAATCCCCGGATCAACTTTGGGATTACATTTCAATTAGTGTGAGCACAATGCCGCGTGAGCTGCGCGTCGTATGTGGGTCGTGTTAGCCGGGTTTATTTTAAAATTCAAAGAAAAAGCGTTCTACGGTGTGTTACCTGAAATACCCGCGGGGCAGCAAAAAGAGTTCGAGTTAAGTGTACTTTGTCACGCTGCATACGTCATAAAAATCTGGAACGCAGTCGCATAGCGGGGCACAGTGAAAAGAAATGTCGGTTGGGTTCTTTATTCTTCGGAATCAGCGGCTGCGGTTTCCTTCCCTCGTTACAACGAATTTCTCTTCTTTCATCCGATTTGACGCGTCCGCGCTTTGCGACTCTTTCGCATTCTGCGTCTGTCTACTACGCACGCATAATGTTTACGCATGTAACCTAACCTATATATACGTACTGTGCGCATATATACAGGGTGTTCCGAACTTAAACGAAACCAAATTTAATTTACGTACAAAGAGAAGAAAAAAAAATATAAAAAAGAAAATTCGATTCAGCAAAAAAACGCTTTGTTATAGAGTCACGAAGAAATATTGTATACGTGAAATATGCAAATGGCGACGCATTTTTCATTTCAGTACACAAGCTGGCATATTTTTTCACTCGTTAACAATTTCGTGTCATTAATTATGATTGACACGATAGAAAATAATTTTCAATTCCCATCGAGGGAATAACAGAATTAATAACACTGTCAGGTGTTTGCACGTTTAATAAAAATCTGATGTTACTTCCGTCGAATAAAATCTTTCGTTTCGAAGCACTGTCGTAAAAATTAAATGCGTAGGTGGCTGTTTCATACGTGGAACATACTTTATACAGGGTGTTCACGAATTCACTGTATAGAACGAGAGAGGACGAAGTTGCATACTGTTTTTTTTTCAACGTAACGCTTATAAAAATTTTTTCTAGTCGAACTGAACTTCCAGTGACCTTCAAAGAAACGTTCTTTTTCTTTTTTTTTTTATGCGAATCGTAGATGAATTCATCATCATTGATGTACCATTCATTACAGCAAATACAGCAGTAAACACGTTGTATAGCATTCTTTTCTTTTTACGCGTAGATGAAGTCCTCGCAGTTTAAGTTCCGGACACCCTGTACATATGATTTAATAAACTTACCGACGTAGCATCACCGAATAGTAACAGTTGGGTTCGTCTTTCGTCGGTATAATAATTAGTGAACTTATCGAATTTTCTCGAAGATACATCCGACTGTACCGTGTGTTAAAAAAGAAAGAGAGAAGATAGAAATTAATTAAAGGTAAACAACGTTTCGGCGTTAGAACGAATTGGCAGAGTGGCCTGTAATTAAGTGCATTCCCTGCAGTGTGTCGGACGGCGAGAAGGGGTAAATAGTGGGGGGTCGTTTAACTTGATTTTCGCGTTATCCTTAACGAGGTTAAAATCACTGTGACGTTCTATGGTCCGGCCAATGTCGTTACGTTCTCGTTACCTACATCCGATAGAATCGGTTGTCTGAGTCGCAGGAAATTCAATTTCCCCCCGATCGAAGAATATTTACTGGTGTGTCCTGCGTCCTAAAAATGGGGCGGCGGAAATCCTCGCGTTTGGACCTCGGACGAATAAAATCCTCCGTGAGATGGCCCGCAGTAATAAGCGGAAATAAAGGATCAAAAATAACGAGAGAGAAGACTGGTGCCGAGATTCTTGGACAAAAGAGATGATGAAGCACAAAGACAAGAGCAACGTAATGCTATTAGGATATCTAAATGTAACGATATTTATGGAGATATATAAGTAAGACGAGTAAGTTATACGAGAAAACTGGAACACTCGGGAACAAAAATCGAATCGGTATTACAGATACCTGTAAAATACCAATGTTTTTCTTTCAGATAATTATTCTGTCGTCGCAGTGAAAACTAAGGAAGATGTTTAAAAATACCGATACTAATAGGATTGATCGAGAAGCGATGATATTACTAACTCATATAACCGGTAAAACCTCAAAATATCGGTACTCGATCGGTATTCGATTTCTGCAAAAAAAAAAAAAAAAAAAAAAAATAGATTATTATTTAAACAAGTGGTTTTTCGCAGAATGATGATCAAATTTCTGTCGTTAGAAAACAGTTTTACACGAAGCCTGTATCTTCAATAATTTCCGAGTATATTTGACAAAGGGTGTTCGAAGGAGGGGTAGTTTTCACCCCCTCTTCAAAAAAGAAAGATTTTTGTTTTTCGAAGGCTACTTGTGCCAAATTTCATGGAAATCTGGCGATTGATACTTTGGACAGAGAAATGAAATATTAGTAGGATCGGTAATGAATGAACCGAGCTGCTGCTGAGCGAGTGGTAAGGCAAAATGCAAGCCAAGTTCGTCGGATGGCCGTGAGGCTAGAGTGAAATCAATGAATGAATAAAACAACGAGATTGATTTCGATACATATCCGTTTATGTCGCGTCGCGGGATATGCCCATGCCAATAAATGCGACACACATAATGCGACATGCTTGTAATTTAATTCATCCGATTACCGATTTTCCAACTACGATAATTAAATTTAGCCATCATATGGTATTATTATGCAGCCTCGCGATATCCCAATTTCTCCCAGTATCTGACAACTACGTGTCAGTTGTGTTATATTAACTTGGCTAGAGTGAAACGAACATAACGTTATTATTCGAGGGCTGAGGTTCCAGCAAATATCCCGATCCCCGAGCTATCGGTGGCCATAATCTGTTGAATTCGTCGTAAAATCGATCTCGATGTATTGTAGAAGTTGCTCGATAATCGACTGTGAGCGAGCAAGCGATTAGATAGATAAGCATTTACTCTCTCTCTCTCTCTCTTTCTGTGCGAGAAAAACGAAATGACGCAGGCTATTTTGATTTCATAACAAAGGCAAAGCCGTCACGCTGAAAATAAAGTCAGCTGAAATAATAAACAATGAATAATTAAGGGGTGAAGTAAATAAAACAATGAGAAATTAAAGGTTTTTGGAATAATAAATAACACAAATGCGACAAACGTAAATAATGAAAGTGGAAAGTGGAATAATAAATAATTGAAGGTACGAAGATTTAGGTTAGGTTCGGCGTCCGCCATTTTAATTTGCTTCGACAGTCCGTGACTCGGAGATGTCTTTGCTCAGATTTCTTAATATCCGTCCCTGTAACCTAACCTAACCCTTGTTTCACACTGATCGTGAGTACTAGCTTACAAAAATGGACAATTATACGTCACGTCTTATTGTGTTATATTGCCAGTTCAAGGTAGAAAGAAAGTTATTTTTTTTGTACGCTGGAACCTTGGTCCAACAATTAAAACTTAGAACGTCACGGATGGCGTCACGGATGTTAAAGTGAAAACAAAAAAAAAAAAATTGGAAAATTTTGCAGTATAATGAAGCAGTATAATAAGCTTTTATTTATACATTTAAGTCTCTAATAAAAATATACACTGTTCTACATCAGTAAAGTATCTAAAAAAATTACAAATTCGTTATTTTGACCAGTGTGGTGGTTCCAGTTTTTCGGCGGGATGTTTGAAATTCGATGGTCGTCTGAAGAAACATGTATTGTTTATTAGAACCGTCACTGTTTATAGAAATTTTATAAATAATTGTACAATTTTATTGTTTTATTATATGACAATCAAACTGATTTAAATACAATGAAAATACACCGTTTTACATCAGCAAAATTGGAATTACAAATTCGTTATTTTGACCAGTGTGGTGGTTCCAGTTTTTCGGCGGGATGTTTGAAATTCGATGGTCGTCTGAAGAAACATGTATTGTTTATTAGAACCGTCACTGTTTATAGAAATTTTATAAATAATTGTACAATTTTATTGTTTTATTATATGACAATCAAACTGATTTAAATGTCTGAAAATCGTTTTACATCAGCAAAATTGGAATTACAAATTCGTCATTTTGACCAGTGTGGTGGTACCAGTGTTAACACTTTTTTCGGCGGGACGTTTGAAACGACGATTGCCCGAAGAAACGTGTATTTATTAGAATCGTTACTATAGAAGTTTTATAAATAATTGTGCAATTTTATTATTATCATCATCATTTTAATAATATGAATAATTGTACAACTTTATTATTATCATTACTTTATTACATGACAATAGAAACTCGTCAACACGAGTGACTTCAGACTTTCGTTTCTCACAAGTGCTTGAAATTAATATTTAGATTTCTTCTTGCACAGAAACATATATAATTGTACAAAACTGTTTAATCCAATTATTTAATTATAATGACTCATACGAATATTTTATTACGGTTGTTCCAGTGTTTACGTTCGTATTAATTTATTTTTGT